AAAAAAAAAAAAAGGAAAGAAAGAAAAAGAAGGCAGAAAGCATTAAAGGCAACCAGAAGGAAAACAGCAGACAAGAAAGACCAGCAAAGAGGATCCAACATACACGTAAGTGGAGTCTGCAAGCGAAAAACAGAGATGTTGTTACAGAGTAAAAGCAGACACCCATAATTCAAGGAAGAGTGCTGACGTGAAGACAGCTTTAACCCCGACGCTGAACAGACTAGCTAATTTCCAGGGAAAGTTATCAGAATGGTCGACATCAAAACATAGAAATACAAAAGGCAACTCTGGCTGGGTGCCGTGGCTCATGCCTATAATCCCAGCACTTTGTGGGAGGCCAAGACAGGTGGATCACCTGAGGTTAGGAGTTTGAGACCCGCCTGGGCAACATGGTGAAACCCTGTGTCTACTAAAAATACAAAATTGGCTGGGAGTGGTGGTGTGTGCCGATAACCCCAGCAACTGGGGAGGCTGAGGCAGGAGGATCTCTTGAACCCAGAAGGTGGAGGTTGCAGTGAACTGAGGTCACACCATTGCACTCCAGCCTGGTGACAGGGTGAGACTCTGTCTCAAACAACAACAAAACAAACAAAGACAAAAGGAAACTTGGGCAGCCAGGCAAAAACTTCAGCCATTCGTGAAGGGAAATGGGGTTGGTATAGATGACTTTGACACAAGAAGACAGAGGAGCCCCTCTACAAAATCTTCATGAAAGTCGGACCTGAGGGCTTATGCCCAGACAGAGCCTGTTCTGGCCATCTGAGCATAAAGGGAGCTCTGGACCCCTGCTGTCCCTGCCCCTCGGCCCTCCCTGTCTGAGCCGTCCCCTTACTCCACGTGGATGAAGTCCCGGAGGTGCTCCTCCACGCCCACCAGCTTGCAGTAGTTGATTGTGTAGGTGGCGTTCACCAGAGTGATCTTTTTCTTGTACACTTTGCCAACATCAAAGTCCTGGGGAAAGGCCGAGGCGGCAGCTTCAGAGCGGGTCAGAGGGGCCCGTGCGGTGAGCGCCGGGAGGCTTTGCCTCAGGGTAACCAGTGGTGAGGGTTTGCCAGCCCAGAAGAGGTTCCCAGGGGACAGTTCCCGAGGGTTTTCCCCAGAGTCGGGGAGGTCCCTGGGGTGCACGAAGAACAGGGTGTGGGAACCTGTCTCAGGAGAGCCTCTGCCACTTGAGGCAGGACGGGCCTTGCTGCGGCCATGTGGGTGACAGTGAGAGGCAAGGCTCCAACATGGCGGCTCCAGGGTGGGACCCTGACTCCATGGATGGGCCTGAGCTGGGGTAAAACACAGGAGCTCATGGGCCGCTCTGTCTTGCAGAGTTTGGCGGAGGCATGGAGGCACCAACCTCAGCATCACGTGTCCCCACCCTGCCCCACTACATCCTGTCCCAAGTGGCACAGGTCTTTCGGGGCCACAGCACCCCTATTGCCCAGGATTTACCCCTCGGTCTGGCGTCCAGCCCCCCATGGAGACGGGACCCTCTCCCTCCGCCTCCTCAGAGAGAAGGGCTGAGATTGGTCTGCACCTTCTGAGGAAGCCCCTGGGTTTTCCAGGGTTAACAAGCAGAAGATGCCAGGGGTGAGGCCGGGGCTCCCTCGCTGACCCGCGCTGCTGCCTAGCCCTGCCGTGGGCTCACCTTGAAGTGGAGGAGGTCCGGCTTGCTGTTGAAGGGGCGTCCTTGGAACTCACGCCCCAACACCACCTGCTTCTGGACCACCCTGCTCCGCAGCCGAGCCACTGTGCGCGCCAAGATGTCCTTGTCCATCTTCGTCCCCCCCACAGGCTTTCGGTCCACGTCCTCCTTGGGCACCTGGGGTCACAGAGACAGAGGCTGGGCCTGTCAGCGGCTCCACCTGGGCAGTGCCGGCAGCAGTCCGCAGAGCAGACAGCCCAGCCCCACCAGCCGCCACCAGCTGGGAGCTGGGAACAGCCCCCAGCTCCGGGAGTTGCTCAGGTAGGCCCCGAGGGACCAACTGACTTTCTGCTCCATTGACAAGACAGGGAGCCCTCACTTCCAGATGAGGGAAACCAAGCAAAGCAGACCCCTCCAGGTTCGGGCGGATCTGGGAAATGACGTGGAGGGGGAGCTTTCCAGATTGCTTTTTTTTTTTTTTTTTTGAGGGAGTCTCGCTCAGCTGCCAGGCTGGAGTGCAGTGGTGCCGTCTTGGCTCACTGCAACCTCTGCCTCCCAGGTTCAAGCGATTCTCCTGCCTCAGCCTCCTGAGTAGCTGGGACTACAGGCGCACGCCACCACGCCCGGCTAATTTTTGTATTTGCAGTAGAGACGGACGATGTTTCACCATGTTGGCCAGGATGGTCTCGATCTCTTGACCTCATGATCCGCCTGCCTTGGCCTCCCAAAGTGCTGGGATTACAGGCGTGCGCCGCCGCCAGGTTGTTAAATCAGGACAAGGAAGCAGTTTTCTACAGCGGGCGGCATCGGCACAAACGTCTTTTTCAAGATGAAAAGCCACTTCCCTGGCCAACACCAGCAACCAGGAGAAGCAGAACTGGCTCAGTGCTGGAAGCCTCGTGGGCTCTGCTCTGGGCCGCCCCTGCTGGTGCCCGTGCCTGGCCACTGGACGGCCTCCTCCCTGGCTTCCTGGGGGTGCTGCTCGGGACCCTCCTCTTGTCCTTCTCCCTTGGGGTCCTGAGTGTGGGTGGTGGCTCTGGCTGGCCTGTTGTTCGCGGCCCTGGTCAGCCCGGCATCCCCAGAACCAGCAGAGCCAGGTGGCTTTGCCCGGACAGCAGAGGTGGCCAGTGCTTACAGGAACTGGGGGGCGGGCATTGCCCCCCCACATGGGACAGGGCCACAGCCCGGGCCACGCTGCGGGGACTGAGTCTCGCTCTTTCAGAAGCCGCAGGACCCTGGCGCCGGATGGGGCGTGTTTCTTACACGGGCCGTCACAGTTTGCTCACTTTTTCTAGAAAGCTGCTTCTTCTGTAGTGCGCAGGGTAGCTCAGAGATTCCCTCAGCCTGGGAGCCCCACATCCCTCCCCTCACATCGCTGTGACCCTGCTGCTGTCTGGGAGTTTGGGGTCCCTCCAGGCTCCGCGAAGGGGGAGAGGCCTGAGTGTGGAGAGGAAGGTGGGGGTGTTGACGTGCTGGGGGGGCGGTGGGAGACGCAGGCACAGCCGGGAGAGGCCTCCAGCGCTGGTGTGGGAAGGTCGGGCTTGGAGGTGGGGAGCTGCCAACAGAGTCCGGGGGTCCCCCCACTGCAGGCGTCTAACGGGGCAGGAGGTGGTACCTGGTATGGCTTGTGGTCTTCGTTCCAAAGCCCAGAGATCTCGGGCTCAGCTAATGTTTCCTCCTCGGCGTTGGCCGTGGGGTCCGCCTGCATGAACTCGCTGGAGACGACGTCCACCAACTGGGAGACCCTGGGGCCTGCGGCCGCCTCGCAGTCCTGCAGTCGGGAGGGGAATGCCGTGCAGACGCGCTCAGGTCAGAGAACAGGGAAGAGAAACCGCGCGGCCCCCGCCGGTGCCGCAGCCTGCCCTGCTCTTCCGAGTCGTGTACTCTGCGCAGAGACAGTGGTGCACGTGGTTGGGTAACTTTTTCTACTTGAAATGTGAGTATTTTAATACATTATGAAATATTTTTCTGCAATGCTCAGAAGAGTCTACAGAATATTTCCTTTGGTGGAAAACGTGCTGACTCCTGGAATCCCCAGTGTCGACCTCAGACACCCACCGTTCTCATTTTTGATGAGATAAACCATGCCCAGGACAAGCCCCTGAGCTGACCCCGGGAGCACGGCTCAGGTGGTCTCCTGGGAATGAGTCTGAGGACTGGGCCTAGCCTGTCTGCCAGAGAAAGGAGCACTGAGCCGGGGGACCATCCTATGGAGCCACAGACAGGACGTTTGGACGGGGCCAGTGTGTTGCCGTCTGCTGACCGTGGCCTGTGCAGTGGGACTTATGGTGCCACAGAGAATCACTGGGAGCAGCTCACAGGTGGGGGCGGGGGCAGGGGAGCCTCCTCTGGAGCAAGAAGGGGCCTCTGCTCCCGGCAGAGGACTCGGCAGGTGCAAAGGCCACGGTGTGAGACGGGCAGTGAGGGGTGGACAGGGCAGAGGCTCAGCCCGGGTACTGGGAAGCTGGGGAGCAGGACAGGATCGTCTCTGGTGCCAGGAGGGCACCGCAGAGAGCTGAGGGAGGCCGAGGCTGCTCTTTGCAGCAGGGCGTCTGTCAGGGCAGTGACCTTGACCTTCAGGGTTTGGGGTACAAAAGAGCAAAGTTGCAGCACTGGGCCAGGCTCAGGAAAGGGCCATCGTCCATCCCCATCCCACACCTTGAGGGAAAGGTAAACGAATATACATTCCGCTAACTGAAGGCAGTTGCCTGCAGCAGCAGTGGACAGGAAGCAGGCCCTGCATGTGAGTGAAGGAATGAGTGAGTGAGTGAGTGAGCGAGGGAGTGAGGGAGGGAGTGAGGGAGTGAGGGAGGGAGTGAGGGAGTGAGCGAGGGAGTGAGGGAGGGAGTGAGGGAGGGAGGGAGGGAGGGAGGGAGGGAGGGAGGGAGGGAGGGAGGGAGGGAGGGAGGGAGGGAGGGAGGG